ATACAAGGTACTGTATTGTACAGTGAGTGGGTGACAATTATTGTACACACAAAGCAGCAGCGGGTATGTGATAACAACAATGACTGTTTGAGAATGTTGAGAATTTTGTCTGTTAGCCAGATTATATAACTTTTTCTCTGTTTATTTGGCTATATTTTTGACCATGGGTTTTTGATAGATTTTCCTCCAACATTGGCTGAACAATATAAATTAGCTCATATAATTTGTATAAACATACTGCATATATAATTTACAAAATGCCCAGTTACTGCCATAAATCCTTTTGTTGGTCTGCTTACTTAATTCACTCTAATGAGCTCATTTCATTACAGACATTTTAATGAGTGCCTCTTAAAGTTGCAATGTGTAATATTTACATCGATCTATTGACAGAAATGCAATATAATATACATAACTATGTTTTCAGAGGTGTATAAAGACCTTACTTAATGAACCGTTATGTTTCTATTACCATAGATTGAGCATTTTATATCCACATACACCACGGGTCCCCTTACATGGAAGTCACCACCATGTTTCGACAGTAGCCCTAAATGGACAAACTGCTCTACACAGTGCGTTTCGTCACTTTGTTGTTCTTGCGAATAAAACACTGACACAATGATGAACAAGTACATTAATATTCGCAATAACATAGATTTATTAAATAATTAAGTAAATATAATTCCTTAATTTACCTTTGTAAAGAAATCTCATTGCTCTCTGCTGTCTTTACCGACGACATCTTAGTCCTGTATCGGATACCGTAGCTTCTCTAAAGGGAGGGGTGAGCGGGGGACTGAGCCGTTGGTTGCAATTCGCAACCTCACCGCTAGATGTAAATTTACACACTGCACCTTTAAGGATAATATACCAGCCATAATGTTTTATTCATCACTAACAGTTCATGATCTATAACCACAGCACTGCTTGCAAATGTGTAGCTGTTTATGACTTGCTATTAAAACATTTATAAAATTTTCCACATACGAATTTTTGACATTTAAAGTTCCACTTTGATAATTCCTGCTTTTTATTTGAATATCTAAATTAATTAAAAGAAAATTATTACATTTAAATAAAAGTATATTAATTCTCTAAACTAAACAAAAGCTTGCTCCCTGTAAGGGAACAGATTCTTTTCGTATATGGGTCTAGATGGGCGCCACAGGGCTCCCTCTGCTGCTTGTTACATCCAGCCAGTATTACCCACTTCATTATCCAATGGCCTGTGCACTCTGCGTACCTCTTTCAGTGCCAAACAAAGCATTGTGGGCTGAAAAATGTGCAGACAGCACAGAATGGCAAGCCCAGAAAAAACAGCAGTGAGAGGTTTTATCTCGCCACTGGTGGCTATTCACATGGCGGCTACACAACATTCCTGCAGGCCTCATTAGGGTGCAACTTGTACTCATCTCATGTCCCATGCCTGCTTCTCTTCATTTGTGTAGTTCTGTTTTGTATTTTTCCCGAAATTGTTCCTCATAATGTTTTCATTTCATAATTTATATTGAATGTACCACTTAATTAATACTCAGTATATTTTACAGGTCTCTGTGGGGATTAGACCTATTGAATAACAGAGCTGAGGGGGGGCTTCTTTGCTGTTCAGTTTGTGTTTGGATATGGAGAAGAATGGGCTGGGGTGTCATGTGTCCTGTTTTTGGTATGAAAAGCATGTTTGAACGTTCGAAAAAGCATGATCCCTATTGTTGATGTCCATCAGGCGGTTGGCGACAGCTTTTAATGTACTATAAATTCTGAAGCAAACTTAAGTGTAACAAGGGGTATAAAAACACCATAAATCATGTCAGCGATTCAGATCTGCCAAAATAAATGTTAAATCTTGGTTTGTCAGAGCCTTGATCTGGGTTTCACATTAACCTTTTATAGAGGGTAAATGTAAATGTTCTCATACATGGGATGGATGGCTGTATAGACGGATGGATGGATGGACAGATAGTTGGATGTATAGACAGACAGACAGACGGATGGATGGATAGGTGGACAGGTGATAGATGGATGGATGGATAAATGATAGATAGATGGGAATGTGATTTATTGCTCCTTGAGTTAAATTATGCTGCAATAGCAACAAAACAATTCAGCATGGTACACAGGGTGGTGTAACAGACATTACAGTAAATATAGAACTTCTGTGTCAGTTTGCCGTGGTTGCAGTAATGTCTTATGGTAGGTTGCATAAATTTATTGCAGAAGAAACACTCAGACAACTTTCTCTTGGGTTTGGCAGAGAACTGGTTTGCTTGGTTGTGTATCCAGTCCCCATTTGGCAATTAGGCATTGTGGAATATTGCATTTCCCACACTCCTCCCCATAGAAAAAGCATTTATTGAAGTTGGCACCTCACTGCTGAAATTCCCAAACTAGTTAGATATAAAGTTGGTCACTTTTCAGTCACGATTAGGTGAACACATTCTGTATCAACTATGTGCAGATGTGTGTATTTGTCTGTACCAAAACAGAATCAAATAGAATTAGAGTAAACATTTACCTGCAAGAATTTCAGATGCATGATTTTAATCTTTCGATTGTAGTAATACCTAGTTCCCTTAAGTAGTGCGTGTACATGTTTGGATGGCAAGGTAGTAATGTGTAGCTGGTACAATTTCTGATTTGGTCATTTTTTCCTACTATAATTTTAGGGTACCATGATCTTTAGCATCAACAAGCACAGACAGCCTGCTGGATTTGGGACCTGATTCAAACCAGCAACCAGCAGATGAGAGGGCATATCCAACATAAACATTGTGCCTCCATTCCATAACATCAGCTTAAGCCAAAGAAGACTCATAATCAACACACCTGTGTCAACATGGAAAAAAGGACATTTTGAGAGAGTTAATTATCAGTCAATTCCAAGTAGGCTAATCCAATACTTAAAGGTGAGGCTTTATCATGCCAAGCATGTGACTAGGGATTTCATAGTTTACTGATATTAAACTCTAATTCAGTCGATTCTTGTTTTGTGCTGCATTCATTTTGTTAGTCAGTGGTGGTATGTATTTTAGCTATAATGCATGCTCAATTTACTTGTAAATAAATATATTAGAAACATTTAAATAATGGATTTTTTTCCTTCACACAATATATGCCATTGCATAATTTTTAACAAATGTTCTTAAGAGTTTATGTGATGCTACTTTTGCATGTTACATGGCGCGCTCTAGTGGGCCAAATCAAGACTTTTTTTTTTTTTTTTTAGGTGGGTGGGTGTGTGGGGTGGTTGTGTGGGTTGGGAGGGTATGTGGGAGAAAAAGTCACCCTTGTAATCACTCAAGCCCTTACGAGCTCTGCTTTGAGCTACCATTAACATGGAGATTGAAGTATCGATTAGTCTTGACTTGGACTAATGGACCAAAGTCCAAAGGAAATTGGGTGCTAATTGGGTTTCAAAATAATATTTTTCCTCTTTCCTTTTAGTAGTTGGAAAGTATCAGGCGATTCAAAGAAGAGCAATTAAAAGAATATCCTAACCTTGGTTTTAAAGCGATCACAGTTGTTGTTTTTTTAGGTTCATTATTTAAAACTCTAATTAAGTAGATTAAATAAACGCTTTAAACAAAAATGCATATTTTGGAGAAGGATTGGAGAAGACGGCTTTCGAATTTGAAGGTAAGAAACACTTAAACAGGTATTGCCATTTAGAGTAAGGATTTTATAATTATGACCACACTGCAAAACACATTTTGAAATGTTTAAATAATTGCTTTGGTGACATCTAGTGTTGTAAAACATAATTTCTTCTCATTGACGTCAACGTGGGACGTCAGCTGAATTAATGGCAAACTATTCCCTTGCACCTTTTTCCAAATGACTTAATATTAACATCTCATCAGCCCAAAGGGCATTTATGTGTGGTGGTGTGACAGGCGGCCAGTTTAAAACTGCGAATCAGGATATGTTCATTAATTCTTCTATGCATGGCTGTCTATTTGGCTCCTCTTTTGCACAGTCTTCCAAAAACATTTTTTACTACTCCATTAGGCCTACTCACAAAAATCTGCTGATCCTGATCCTTTTCTCATAAAGTCTTAAAAGCTTACAAGCAAGCTTAACTGACTTTAACATTTTACATGAAAAACGTACCACCAACAAAAATACATCATGTAATGATTTAAAGGGTGACGTTTCACAATGATATTGCCCCTTCTTCACTGGTCACCTTTATTTTGGTTGGCATATGATGTTGTAGAAGATACAATTGTCTCAGCTCAGCTCAACCATCTGTAGCCTAACATTAGGTGGTGGTTAGAGAACAAAAACTCAAGTGACAGAGCACTGTGTGTCTATATGAGGTAAACCCTACATTGTGGGGACCAAATGTCCACAAGGATAGTAAAACCTGATTTTTTTTACCTTGTGGGAAATAGCTAATAAATCATACTAGAAGTTTTTTTCTTTTCTCTCTCTCTCTTTTTTCCATCAAAACAGAAAGGGTTCTGTAGGGTTTAGAGAAGGTGAGGGTTAGGGGATATAATATACAGTTTGTACAGTATAGAAATCATTATGTCTGTGGAAAGTCCCCATAAAAATGGAAAACCCAACATGTGTGTGAAGTCCACAGAAACTAGATTTTATGTGGTGTTTTTACTGTTATTAATGGCTTATAACATTTTACAATGTATTTTATTGGCTTATGATGAGTGTTTATTTGTTTATTATAGGACAAGACAATTTCCCTTTGGGACAGTAAGGTATATTTCAATTTAATTCTTTGCGTTCCTATTGTATTCCTATCCTTAATTGTTTAGTTTTAGCACTGATTTTTATATATATTTTAAAATATATGCTGTGTGAGATTTGTTTCTTATATGAAGACCCCATGAAATGTAAGCCCATTAATATACATGGTCTGTCAATATGAACAGGACCCCCTCTCGACCCCAGAAAGAGCTGTGGTCCAATCAGAGCACAGCGAGTCAGTTTGCCTGAGGTGCTTGCTGTCTTGCGCCTGGTGAAAAGAACTCAATAGTGGATCAGCGTTTGTTCAGGCAACAGTTTGCTGAGAAACTTCTGAGGAGGAGGACGCGCGCGCACTAAAACAAACTCAAAGCATCCTCGCGCAAGCGACGGTCAGGAGAAATCTGACTGAATCTTTTCTTCACATTTTTGTCTCGCTAACGCCTTATTTTTTTTTCCAAATAGTGCCCGTGTTGACATTTCGAACCAATGTCTTGTCAATTTCCCTCAGGCCGTTGCTGAATTTTTGCCGAGGTTATTGTTTGCCGAGGAGCAGTTGGAAATCTCAAGATGGACCTGAGACCTTCGCCGTTTTTTCTTGGTTTGATATTAGTTCTTAACGTTTTGTCAGCAGCCCAGGACACAAATGAAGAAATCCCTGAGGGGGCGTCCACCTTGGCGTTTGTGTTTGATGTCACCGGCTCCATGTACGATGATTTAGTGCAAGTGATTGAGGGAGCATCGAAGATTTTGGAAACATCCCTCAGCAGACCCCAGAGACCACTGTACAACTTCGCCTTGGTGCCTTTTCATGACCCAGGTACATAAAAACAACGCAAATGAGCTTTCATTTCTTTTTAATGAAAGCTGTCTACTTCCTTCGCAAATCTGTTTTAGTAAGTTTGTGGCTTTAATGGTGGCATTAAAATATGATTCTTTCTTTCTTACACAAAGTTCTCCTTCGTAGCGTTCTGTGGGCAAATATGAAATGTTTTGTTTGTTAAGGATAACCTGTTCCTTTATTCCCTTAGATGACCTTTAAATAAAACTCATATACTGTGTTTTTCAGCCTAAACACCAAACCTGATCAATTTACTTGAAAAGATAGATTGCATTAGATATTAAGATATTAAATTGCATGCGTATTTCGGAGTGCTTGTTTATGTTTTTCTCTTGATTTAAGCATAAATCTGATGCAGTTTAGTTTGGTTTATTCTTAAAACAAGAAGAAGAAAAACAAAGCAAAACAAAACATTCATTTTGCCAAGGGGGGGGAGTAAAATGAACTATAGCTATATTCTCTTATTATTTATATACAGCTTTTCTTGTTAAGAAAATGTATCTTGTTTACAGATGTAGCTCATCTTAAAGAGGGACTTGTTGTCAGAAACATGACACATCTGTTAGTTTGCTGAGAGCTGCTTCATGCTGAAGTGTCTCACACCTACAGGAGGTATCAAAGCATTGTTTGTGGTGCCCAGATGTTCTGTGTGTTGAATTCACTGTCATTATCATTCCGTCTATCCAGGCGGAACAAGCTTGGAAGCATTTGAATGCCTGCTGGTGCAGCCTTTTTCCAAGGAACGTACTTTACTGACTGTACACGACAGTTAGGGTACTCTAAATAGCTATAATAATTAGGTATTAATGGGTTAACAGTCAATATGTTGCATGCACATACAGTAAATTTTGATTTGTCTAAAGTATACCAGATATATATCCCTGAATAATGATATGAGTCCCTGAATAATGTTAGACTGTTAGGAGGGGGAGGGGGAGGGGGGGGGCATAATTCAAACTCTGAACATGGTAGAGTTTTGGCTTTGTAATTAGTTCAAGTACAAAGGCAAGTTCACTTCTCTAATCTAAAAAAGCCGAAACAAGATAATGGCATACAAATGATAAAATTGCAGGGTAAACAACATCTAGTGGTAGAAAGGATGAAAAACTATGCATCTAGACTCTTCAAACGCTTTTGAAGAGTGAGAGAGAGTCTCAAAAGAAAGTATCATCTCAAGAGATGTTAAGCCTCCCCCTTCTTTGTTCCCAACCTGAATCTATCCTAAAGTGTCCAAACGCAGCATGCCAAATACATTTTCCATCCACTCCTTGGGGTGCTCAGGAATTTCTTTCAAGATGCACGCTGTATCTGGTTATTGATTCAGAATGCGCTGTCCACTGTAACTACACCGAAAGATTTGCAACACAAAAGAAGACTCTTAGGGAGGGAGAGGGAGCATAATTCAAACTCTGAACATGGTAGAGTTTTGGCTTTGTAATTAGTTCAAGTACAAAGGCAAGTTCACTTCTCTAATCTAAAAAAGCCGAAACAAGATAATGGCATACAAATGATAAAATTGCTGGGTAAACAACATCTAGTGGTAGAAAGGATGAAAAACTATGCATCTAGACTCTTCAAACGCTTTTGAAGAGTGAGAGAGAGTCTCAAAAGAAAGTATCATCTCAAGAGATGTTAAGCCTCCCCCTTCTTTGTTCCCAACCTGAATCTATCCTAAAGTGTCCAAACGCAGCATGCCAAATACATTTTCCATCCACTCCTTGGGGTGCTCAGGAATTTCTTTCAAGATGCACGCTGTATCTGGTTATTGATTCAGAATGCGCTGTCCACTGTAACTACACCGAAAGATTTGCAACACAAAAGAAGACTCTTAGGGAGGGAGAGGGAGAGCAAGATTGCCTGTTCCTTCACAAAATCGGTAAATCAGTATTCCAGATGTGTGCAGTATGTACTGAAATCAGGCTGTCACCTATTTGTTTGCATTATTGTAGATCGTTTTATGAAGCCTTGTAGATGGGAGATGCAGCCGAAGGAGTGGAATATGCATTATTTAGATAACACATAACATGAGCAGCTTTTTTTGTCAAGAAATTGTCAATCTGTAAGTGGCTTTTTGGATAGTGTTCATGTGTTTCATTGCATAAATAAAAAAACAACCCAAATTTTAATCCCTTTCAAAAAATAATTTTAATTTAGATGATTTAGCATATTTGGCTTCAGATTCAACCACAATTCCTGATGAATTTCAGTAGCAAATTAATATCTAACTAACCACCAATTATTTGCGATGGTTCAGAATAGTAAGGAAAAATGCCTTTCGAGTTTTCCTACTTTCCTACTTTTTTTTTTGTTTGATTACCCATCTAACCCAAGTAAACAGATAAAAATGGTTAGCAGAGTTCTTTTTGGAGAATCGGTTTGGTTCATTCAGACTGTACTCAAGTATTGGTATAAACACATGCATAGAGACTAAAAAGCTTAATCCTCTGGTAACTCTTCGACTGTGACCTGGAAGGGGAAATAGAAAGTCCCTTGGTGCTAAATAAGGGTTAACAGTCAGTGGAGGCTTCAATGAGTTTCAGATGTCCAGAGATCTTTTAAAGAGCAGTTGGCCCATTGAGAAGTGTGTGGCCACAGGTTCCCTGTGCTACTGCTTTCCTAAGACTCCAGTGATGTACTTCCCACATACACATACATGCATACTCAAATACACACACATAGGCCTGTAAATATGACCCCCTGTAATCCAGTTCCTGAACTTGCATGTGTTTAAATGTGTGGGATTTTGGGCCTAGAAACACTATCAATGACTAAGCACTAAGCACTGACTCAGTTAGTAAACCATATTTCTCACACACTTACTCCACACTTTTCAAGGTTTTTGCTCTTTATTAGTACTATTTATATCATATTATTATGTGCATGCTTTGAATCTGTCTAAATATTGGCTTCTGGACAGGCTTTAAGGAGCTGGAGAATCACAGAGAAGATCAGGAGTATTTATTCAGTTCATTCTTGTCATCCTAAAACTGTCAGGAAAAGCTGTGACAAATGATATAGGCTAAACTTCAGACAGAGAATAAGCAGAATTGGTATTCTTAAGGGACCATTACTACTCTGGCTGAATTTTCCAGGTTCCTAAAAATGCTGATGATAGCAGCTGGATGGAGATGAATATCAGTCAGCTTTCTCTTCCAAAGCAAATAGTTCCCTTTGTCTTTCTGTAGTCAATGAAAAAAGTTCCCTTATTTTGGTATGAGATTTATTTCACTCTTTCTACATCCCGTCACACTTTCAAATGGCTGAACCTACCAAATAGTTTGACAGCCTGCTTTGTGAATGAACATTGGCATGCTTACATCTTGTTGATGGCTTTGGAGCTATAATCACCTCAACATTTTTAAGGAGCATTTTATCTTTCTTCATTCTGATTAATCGGATCTGCTCCCTTTAGTTAGACCTTTTACCAAAGCTTTCAAAATGGCATAGGAGGAACATTGATGCTTTCAGTGCTTTTAACATTTTCAGAGCTCATTCCTCAACTAAACAGCTCTTTGACCCTTTGGTGCTTGTCCTCAGAAGCTACATTCATCTCGGAATACCCCTAGATTACAAGGGGATTGGCGTGAACATGGCCCGTAATGATGCCATTAGGTAGGAATTTGTGACATGGGGGGGGTTAAATAGGGTTTCAGAGTACGGTGGAGTATGGTGTAATTCTTCTGTTTCATCTCTTTAATGATGAGGAGAAAATAACATGACACTTTAATTTGAGGACAGTGCATGCGTTGATTCCATTGCCTAAGGTGTTACACAAAGAGCCATTTTCCAAAAAGTGCTACTGTACCCAGTAGTTACTGTAAGCACTTAAAACTATTCAAACAACCTTATATTTATATGGGGACTTGAGACATATATCAACAGTTGTTTTTTTTTTAATTTTTTTTTTTTAAAGAAATAAAATCATTTTATGGCAAGGATGCATTAAATTGATCAGAAGTGACAGCAAAGACATTTAACATACTGCAAATATCTCTTTCATATAAATGCTCTTCTTTTGAACTTTCTATACATCAACAAATCCTGGAAAAAATGCATCACAGTTTCCACAAAAACATGTTATTAATTTTATTCAGCAAGAAGGATGCATCAAAAAGTGACATTAAAACAATTTTACATTAAATTTTGAAATTCTATACATCAAAAAATGTATCACGGTTTCCACAAAAAAATATTAAGCAACTGTTTCAACAGATAATAATAGGAAATGTTTCTTGTGCACCAAATCAGCACATTAGAATGATTTCTGAATGTAACACTGAAGACTGGAGTAATGGCTGCTGAAAATTCAGTTTTGTCATCACAGTAATAAATTACATTATAAAATATATTTAAATAGAAAAGCTATTTTAAAATGTATTAATGTTTCACAATAATACAGTTTTATTTTTTCTTTATCAAATAAATACAGCCTTGATGAGCATAAGAGACTTAAAAATTTTATACGGCAGATATTTGAACGGCAGTAAACTACAAGTATTATGAACAATTTTCTGCAGTTCTTGGGATTCCAGCTAGATTATGATCACATATTTGGCCACTTGCACTTTCTGAGCCGTAGGAATTGTTTTGATTGGACACAGAGAGATTCTGTGACCTTTTGTGACTGGTGCAGGGCAAAGGTCGAAGTCTGCTGGGAAGTTGAACTTGAGATGAGTTCGAAATGAAAGATGAAAGGACAATAGAAGATTTTTGGCCCGTGCATGATTTTCAGATGTTTGAAAGACAAACATGGATACCATTAGAGTGTAATTGCATTAGTAGCTGCTACAAGTCAGTGGAAAATTAAAGCCTCTGTTTATGATGTAAAGTTTCACTTGCTCCAGGCCAAATAATTGCTTTGATGTCAAACATTCTTTTGTATTCTTTAAATAATGACTCGATATAGGCAAAACACACTATATAAAACAACACGATATACAAAATGAATTTATGGCTGAACTTTGGTCTCTTAGAATATG